CATCTAATAAAAGTGTGGTAATCGTATCTAATAAAAGTGTGAGCTTTTAGATATTACCACTTATGAAGCTTCTCAAAGTTCTGAAATTCTTTAATAGTAACTTTAATAATCAGTGAGACCAGGTCTTCGAGGAAACAAAGCAAACTGACTAAAACCTCAAAATACATATATACTGGCTAAACTCCCACCTTTGATTTAGCTGAAGGACTAATTTTTTTTTATTTTGATTAATTTCCTTTTTAAAAACCTTAGCATGATTCTAAGCATCTCTTTTTTAAGGCAAAGTAAAGTATTGTAATGAAATGTGTTAAAGTCTACAAGTAGAAAATCAACAGAAATAAAAGGGGAAAATGCACTTTTCTCCCTCAGGCTGAAAGAATGAAATCTTACAAGTTTTAAGTTGCAATAGTGAAGGTTTATATGGATAAAATATTACATGATGAAGAAAATATCAAAAACAGAATGATTAGAGAGAGTCTCTATACAGAAAAGGATTGGATTTCATCTACCTCAGAAGGTAGCATATGATCAAGAACTGATAGTATTAAAGAATAAATCCAACCTAGACCTAGGACACTGGCAAAAATCAAGACTCCAGGAATGGAAATAATAGAAACTATAATTTTCAACAAGCAGGTGTAATGTTGGAAGTACACATTCATCTAAAATAAAGAATTTGGAAGACAGTAACTCATTCAAATGGCTTAAAGAGATCCTTAATTGTACCCATTCAAAACACTGTGATCCAATAGAACACAGTAATTATTTAAAAATGCTAATAATGTCATACACAAGTAAAATATACTGAATATAATTTTTAAATGAATTTAGCACTATGTTGACATGGAAATACAAAAAAAATCAATGTGGATTCAGAAGAGGATATGGAATAAAGGGTACTATCTCTGATGTCACATCTATCTAGGCTGAAAATAAAGAATATTAGAAAGATGTTAACTACTGAGTTGTTGACTGTACAACGGTGTTCATGTGGAACAGATAAATCATGAACAATACTGTAAAGAGTAATAATTCCAGAAAATTAATTGTGCTCATGTGGAACCTGTATATAGACTAAGATGAAGTCTTTCAAATAGACTGCTGGTGATATTTCATGGTTTAAAATCAGAGGAAGAGTGCATCAGAGTTGTCTCTGTTCATACTACTTTTCTTGCAATATCAAGGATTTCTTGTTTAAAATGGCTTTCCTAGACATTGTCTTTGACTTTTCCATATAGATGGGTATGAGGGGATGTTTATTTATTTACAAGCAGAATGGCTAGTCTTGCCATTAAATTGAGCAGATTCAACATTAGAAACTGGGAATCTCACCATTAGCAAAGAAGAAACAGCATGAAGAGTATGTGTCCTTAAATTCTCGAGCAACTCAGATTGGATTTGTAGCAGCAGCCACAGTAGAGAACTAGGATCCCAACATGAGACAGAACTGATCTTGGGACTGCTATCACAAGGAACCAGAGCTACTAGCCTTCTCCTGAATTTACTTAAGGACCACAAAGAAAGCCACAATTGGCAGGACTAAGAGCTCTCTGGCAAGATTGATCTGAAATTAGTGATAATGTCTTTAGTGTCACAGCCTCTTCTGAACCCAGCTTGTATTTCTGGTAGTTGTCTGTCAATTTACTATTCCAATCATTTCTGAATAATCTTCAGTAGTTTTTTGCTTGCATGTGATATTGTATGATAATTTTCTCACACTATCAAGTCACCCTTTTTTTTTTAATGGAAAAAAATATGGATCTCTTACAATCTGTTGGCCAGGTAGTTGTCCTCCAGATTTCTTGGCACAACCTGGTAAGCACACCCAGGGCAGTATCTGTTTGTTGAAATATGTAAATTGGTATTCTATCAATTCCTGGGGCTTTATTTTTCCAAGTTCTTCAGAGCAGCCTGAACTTCCTCCATCATGATCGCCTCTTGATTATACATTTTTTCTTGATATTCTTCTGTGTGAGCAAGTTCTTTTTGGCACAGTGACTCTGTATACACCTTCAATCTTCTTTTAATGCTTTCTGGATCATTCAATATTCTGCCCATAACATCCTTAAGTATTACAACTTGAGCCTTGAATTTGTTTTTTGTGGTTTTTTTGTTGTTGTTGTTGTTTGTTTTTAGTTTCTACAGCATAAGAAATGCAGAACAAATTTGGAACGTTTTATTTTTGGACTCTAGTTTTTTTGCACATATCATTATAATACATTGCTTTGTTTTCCTGTGCTGCCCTCTGAAATTTTCTATTCAGCTCCTTAACTTCTTGCTTTCTTTCCTTTGCTGTGGCTTCTTGGTGTTCTAGTGTAATATTTAGAGTCTCTTCTGACATCCATTTTGGTCTAGTCATTTTCTTCTGTTTTTGTAGTGACCTTTTGCATTCTTCATGGATTATCCTTCCACAGCTCATCTGTTTTTCACTTATTAGTGTTCAAGGCCGCAAACCTTTTCCTGAGTTGATTTTTAATTTCAGACGGGGCAGACTCAACGTCAAATTTTGGTTCCTGTGGATTTGGCTTTAACTTTAATTTGACCTTACATATGAGTATTTGATGTTCTGTTCTGCAATCAGCTCCTGGCCTAGTTATCATTGCTGATATTAAACTTCTCCAATGATTCCTTCCACAGATGAAATCAATTCTATTTCTATGCATACCATCAGGTAAAAATCAATGCATATAGCCTGCATTTATGTTTCTTATAAAAGGTATTTGCTATGAACAAATCACTAATTCTGTCATACTATCCCCAGCCTCATTTCTGTCACCAAGTCCATGTTTCCACATAACTGATCCTTCCTCCTAGTTCCCAACTTTTGCATTTCAGTCACCCATTATTATTACGTGATTGCATGTTCTATTATGACTGCAAAATTTGGTAGAAATAACCTATTTCCTCCTCTTTGGCTCTAGTTGTTGGTGTATAAATGTGAATGATAGTGGTATTAACAGTTATGTGCATGAATATTATCCTGTCACTCACAACATTGTATTTCAAGATGGATCTAGAAATGAACTTTGTAATTATGAAAGTGACCTAGTTTTGGCTGACCTTTTTATCTGTAGCATAATAGATCATATGATCATCTGATTAAAAAAATGTCCCAAGACAATCCATATCATTTATCCAGTACCTAATATGTCAATATTTATGTGTTCCAGTTCTTTGTTAACGATGTCTAGTTTTTATACATTCATGTTTCTTACCTTCCACATTCCAATCACTAGTTTCTGCTTACAACTGTTCTTCCTTCTTTGTGTTTTCAAATTTGAGAACTCAGTCTCAGTTGCCATCTCTTTTATTCTACTTTATGTGTACTCTATTGTACCAGAAGTATATCTCTGTGTCTCATTGACTATGGAAAGGCATTTGAGTGTGTGGGTCACAACAATTGTGATTAACCTTGCAGAGGATGGGAATCCCAGGACACTTGACTGTGCTTATGTGAAACCTATACTTGGACCAGGAATCATTCATCAGAACAGGGCAGGGAAACACTGTGTGGTCCAAAATCAGGAAGGGAATGTGTTAGGGATATCTTTTCAATCTATATGGAGAACAGAAGAGGTTGTGGTACTAGGGATATTATAGCTAATGTTAGATGGATCTTGGCAGAAAACAGAGTACCAGAGACTGTCTTTCTGTGCTTCATTGACTATGCAAAAGTTTTTGACTGTGTAGATCACAGCAAATTGCTGCTGACTCTGAGAAGGATAGGAATCCCAGAACATTTGATTGTGCTTATGTGAAACCTATACTTGGACCAAGAGGCAGTCGTCAGAACAGAGCAAGGAGACACTTCATGGTTCAAAATTGGGAAGGGCATCATTCTTTATCCATACCTTTTTATCTGTATGCAGGACAGATCATCTGGGATGCTGTGCTATATGAGGAGGAATGTGGCATCAGGATTGGTGGAAGAGTCATCAACAATCTGTGTCGTGCGGATGACACAAACCTGCTTGTCAAAACTGAGGAGGCCCTTGTTTGTAGAAGGTCAAGGACTACAGCCTTCAATATGGATTGAAGCTCAACATCAACAAAATAAAGATTTTCACCACTGGGCCTTGAGAAAGTCAACAGATTTATTTTCTACTGTGGATCTGCTTGGGGTTTGAACTCCCAACCTTCTGGTTAGCAGGTAAGCACTTGTACATTGTACCATCAGGATTCCTAAGGCTAGGAGTCTAGAAGTCTGAATTCAGGGCACAGACTGTAGGAAAGAGAATCTTACTCTGCCAGTCCTGAGGGGAAGCCCCTAATCTCTTTTCAGCATCCATTTGCCCAGCATTACTCAGCTTCTTGGTTCCACTTCCTGATTGCTCTTATTACTGTGTAAAAGGACATGTGGAAACTCCTTCCCAAGTCAAGGGCAGATACAGAAACTCCAGGTAATGAATGACAAGAAAAGGAGCAATGAAGGATGGTGTTGTTTAGCAATGCATTATAATGATAAAGGCTGACAAGGAGACAAACTGCAATATTGGAACTTGCTTTTAAAAGGCAATATTGCATCAGATGAGAAGATAATGACACGTATCTTTGTGTCTTAACATAAAATACCATCAAATATAAGTTGCTATTTGAAGAACATGCCATAGAGAAAATATAGAAGTATTGCATGCCCAAAGATGTTAAGACGTTTGTAAGATCATTAAGTTCCAGAGTGGGAAAAGTGTGCCTAGGAGGGAAGTAAGAAAGGAAACTGGTGTAATGCTTAGTTTCTGAGTGATATAAATGTTTAAATATTGTGTATTAAAGAAATGCTAAAATTGTGTAGATATAAAATATTACATTGATGGACATTACAATAAAATCCGTAAACTCTTTCAGTAGTGGAATTATACTTAAAATGCTGAGGTTTGATAAGTATGTCCTCTATTTTGTTAATACATTATACTTTGATGATTAATTGCTAGGAAGTTCCTCAATGATGAGTAAAACAAGATACTTTGATGGATATGATACAGTAAAAATATAAAACCAAATAATTTTAAACCTTGTTTATTCAGAGAGTAAAATGTAATGCCATACAATTTTAACAATCACTTAAAAAAAGGATTTAGGTTTGCATAAAACAGAAGCAAAACAGAAAGATATGAAATAAAATGCTATCTTGCTTCAAGTTTTCAAGTCAGTACTTAAGAGTACTAATATACATCTATGTACATTGTAAGTATATTATATAAATATACTCTAAGTAATCTCAGAACCACAATGAATATCAAGTAGGTTTTTAGGCACATGGCATTGAAAAATGCAAAATCTGCATAATTCTTGAGAGTGCTGAGTAACTTACTCTTAGATTACTTTCACACATATATTTTACACAAAATACACTGCTACCACTCACATGATCCCCAGTCACCTCTGAATCGAACTTCTCTTCCCAGCATTAGTGCCTCTTGTTCTTTGATACTATTGCTCCACACAGCTATAACATAAGAAAATATTTTGCAAATTTCTTCACTAATTGCCTAAGAAGGTATCAATGCTCACAAAGTAAGTAGAGCCTATCTACACAATATATTCATGAAAATGTGCTGAGAGGCATGAACTTACAGAACTGATCCGTGTAATACTGGGGGTTAACCTGAAGGTAAGCTTATAAACTTTAAGGTATACCATTTTTTAACTGCCAATACTAAATATTAAATCTAGAAATTATTAGAAACTGAGGTAATACCTGTTTTGTTGTGTTTTTTGAAGAGATAGAAATAGTTGAAAATACACTGAAAGAACTTTAAAAAATCTTGACAAACATGGACCTCAGTAATTGTAAGCTGTTTGTAATCCTTTCAGCTGAAATGTAAACCAAAGAATCTGAAGGAATGCTCTAGTTGAATGTACATACACTGTTAGGATTAAAGATCACAGCCATGGAACACCTGAGATCGCCCTCTGATAAGTGAAGCCTAATGCTTCTCTTAATAGAGCCAATGTTCAGTGATAAAAATGAACCAAAGAAAACTTGCTGCTATCTTTCTCCAGCTACAAGTCAGATTCTGGCATGTCAGGCATATCTGGCATATCTGCCATCAAGTACCCTATCCCATACCGTCCATTGGGAGCAGTATCTGGAGTTGGTGATCCACTCTGTTTTCGATAAATATTTTTCCCAAAATTTGGAGAGGACATCTCACTTGGAATCTTTCCATGAATAAGGCTTGCATCATCTCCTTCTAAGTTAACAGGCTCTTTCAGGACCCTTCCTCTCTTATAGGTCACGGAGGCTAAGTTACCAGAACTATCATCTATGAGGTTGCAGCGACGAATAATGAAGACCACTGGGACAGGGAGTATGGCCAGGATGATTAGCAAGATACAGACAACTAATCCCCATGTTGGATAGTTCAGAAATTCTTCAGATGCCTGTGAGAGAAAATAATAAGTATCAATAATGTATTTTTAAATGAGCATTTATGAAAACTTCATTATTTATATCAAATTTGTAATCAAGGAATTTAGGGTGGCTTTCTGACTTGCTTTGACCAGAAAGAATTCAGTAGAAATAATTAAAACAAAGTGCCACGTAACTGACCCTGCAGTGGGTTTTCACACGCTGTAAATCGAACAAGAGACTGTTGTTCATCTTAATCCAGAGAACAACTGGTGGATTTGAACTACTTGCTTTTAGGTTGGCAGCACAACTCCTTACCCACCAAAAGTAATACCAAATGACTTCCAAAAGCATAAAAAGCTTTTACAAAGCTTCCAAAGCCTTAAAAGTTCCATCTCTGTTCTCTTAGAATGCTGTCTTGCATACATGATGGTGTTAAGCCATGAAGGAAAGACTACCCATAGAGATATGCCAAGTGGTTTCAGTGCTCACAGCTGACCCACAACTGTACATATTAGTCCAAGGTAGGCGTCACTAGAATTGCCTAGCTTACCCATAAGAGTAGGAAATTAATAACTTACTGCTGTTTTTGTTCACTAAATTTTGGGGAAGTCTGTTACTAAATTGTTGTTGTTGTATACCATAGAGTCAGAATTGACCCTCCAGCAGGTTATCTGAAGTAGTAAGCACACAGAAGGAGACTTCCCATCCTTCTCCCATGGAGCAGCTGGTGGATTCAAACCACACACCTTTGGCATTGCAACGCAGATTCTTATCACCACATGTGTTATCTTTCAAAAAAATCTAAATTCTTACATCACTCTGGCCCTAAGATTTCTGTAAGAGATACCAGGCTTGTTTATGCCTTGGTTAAGTCATTGTATCAAAGGATTAGCCAAGAAACAGTTAAAGATTAGGGATGCCAAAGAAAAAGAATTATTTCTATAATTAGCTAATATCTCTTGTGATCACATTATTTTGCAGTTAATTGGCTTGAAGAAAACTGAAATAACATTACTAAAATACTTACTGTTAAAACTTTACTTCAATATATACTTATCTTAAATATTATCACCATGGTAAATGCATATTTTACTATTACATGGGTTCTAGGCTATAATTAATATTTATTAGTATTAATAAATTGTTGTTGTTATGTGCCATCGAGTCACTTGCGACTCAGTGTAGAAAAACCCTAAATCCTGTTCTATCCTGTGCCAATCTCATTGTCTTCAAAACACCTACTCCCAATGCCCCAATCACTGAATTGATCCAAGTCATTGAGGGTCTTCCTCTCCTGCACTGTCCCTCCACTCTCCCAAACATGATGTTCCTCTCCAAGGACTGATCCCTCCTTGCAACATGCCCAAAGTATGTCAGACGAAGCTTCAGAATCCTTGACTCCAAGGAGCAGCTCGGCTTCACCTTCTCCAGGACAAACCTGTTTGTTTTCCTAGCAGTCCATGGTATATTCAGTACTCTTCTCTAGCACCACAGCTCAAAGGCATCAATTCTCTATCATTCCTAGTTACTGTCCAACTCTCCAATGCATAGCACACAAATGTGAAGATGATAGCCCAGATCAGGTGTACCTTGGTCTCCAGCCTGACATTTTGCTCTTCAGTACCCTGGAGGGGTCCCTGACAGCTGACTTTCACAATGCAATCTGTCTCTTGATTTCCTGGCTGCTGTTACCAAGAGTGTTGACTGTGGAGTCAAGCAAACTAAAACTGTTAAACTATCTCAATATTATTACCATTCATACTGATGCTATCAATTGGCCCAGTGGTGAGAATCATTGTTCTTGATGTTGTGCTTCAATCCATACTGATGGCTGCAGTCCTTGACCTTCTGCAACAAGCACTTCATGTCCTCCTCAGTTTCAGCAAGCCGGGATATGTCATCTGCATAGCAGAGATTACTGATAAATCTTCACCAGTCATGATGCCACATTCCTCCTTGTACAGCCCAGCAGCCGGAATGGTCTGTTCTGCTTTCAGATTGAAAATGTATGGAGACAAAATACATCCCTGTTGGACCCCTTTCTTGATTTTGAACCATGCAGTGTTCCCTTGCTCTGTTCTGACAACTGCCTCTTGGTCCAAGTATAGGTTTTACATTAGCACGATCAAATGTTCTGGGATTCCTATTCTTCTCCGAGTCAGCCATAGCTTGTTGTGATCCACACAATCAAAAACCTTTACATAGTCAATGAAGCAAAGATAGACATTCCTCTGGTACTCTCTGCTTTCTCCCAAGATCCATCTAACATTTGCTATAATATCCCTAGTACCACGACCTCTTCTAAACCCAGCCTGCACATCTGGCAGTTATCTGTTGACATGTTGCTCCAGTCGTTTTTTATAATTTTCAGCAGAATCTGACTTGCATGTGATAGTAATGATATTGTTTAATAATTTCTGCACTTTGTCGGGTCACCTTTCTTTCAATTGGGAACAAATATTGATCTCTTCCAGTCAGTTGGTCAGCTGGCTGTCATCCAGATTTCTTGGCACAACTTAGTGAGTACATCCAGTGCAGCATCTGTCTGATGAAATATGTTAATTGATATGCCATCAACTCCTGGAATCTTGTTTTTGGCCAATTCTTTCGGAGCAACTTGAACTTCCTCCTTCATCACCAAAGGCTCATACGTCATTTCATGAAACTCTTCTAGAAGTCAGCCAATTCCTTCTGGTATAGTGACTCTGTATACCCCTTCCATCTTCTTTTAATGCTTCTTGGATCATTTAACACTCCACCCAAAGCATCCTTAAGTATTACCACTCATGGCTTGAATTTGTGTTTCAATTCCTTCAGCTTAAAAAGGCTGAGCGAGTTCAGCCCTTTTGATTTTCTAACCCAGCTCTTTGCACATTTACATCGGAGGAAAAAATAGTCCTGGAAATTTAACCGACATTTTTGAAGTAAAAGGCCTAATAATTATTAAATCATCTATGCTAAGATGGATAAAACTATGCTCACGAGAACAAGGCTAATTTTTCCAATGTATTGAAGAAATAAGTGATTATAAAGAAATTCATAGGTATCCTGGGCACAAAATATAAATCTAAAGTTCTTAAATAAAAGTAACACTATTCATTAAAGAGCAAAAACAAATAAATAAAGGAAAAAGTAAGACCTATGTGTGTATATGCTCCCCTTGGAGGTTAGGATTTTGAAGCTCCGTCTCACGGACTCTGGGTACGTGGCCAGGAGGGACTGGTCCTTGAAGAAGGACATCATGCTCGGACGGGTAGAGGGACAGTGTAGGAGAGGGAGAGTCAGAAGAGATGGATTGATACAGTAATTGGAGCATTGGCAGAGAGTGTGTCAGAATTAGTGAGACTAGTTCAGGAGAGGGGAGGGTTCAGAGCTGCTGTACATAGGGACACTATGGGTCACAGGCAACTCAATGGCACATAACAGCAGCTATAAGTGTGTATGTATGTCGAATATATATGTATATATTTTATTTAACTTTCATGTTTTGTATTTTACCTTATCTTCAATCCATGCATTATAGCCAGGTGGACTTAATCCCATATTCACAACACTAGCTACTAGCAATGATAATAACATTAAAGGAGAAAGATATTTCCACATATAGTAGTAATATCTGTTGGGTGAAAAGCCCAGCATGTCCTTGAGGTCTTCTATAAACCTAAATAAAAAGAAAATATTTCATTATTGCTTTAGTTAGCATTTCTAGATCTTACAAACACATATGATACATCAATGGATTAACAGAAAGTTAGCCATGAAAATCCATGATATTTTACACTGAATCAACAAGTCACTTTTCAATGAAAATTACAAGAATATTTATGAAATCAAATGAGGTAAATACTGTAATTGCCAGGTATTGATATTGTTGTTATGTGCCTTTGAGTCGCCTGTAACCTATAGCAACCCTATATACAGCAGCTCTGATCCCTTCTCTATCCTAATTCTGACACACCAAACCCCACTGCCCCGGTTACAGTATCAGTCCATCTCATCCGGGGTCTTCCTCTCCTGCTTTGTCCATCCACCCTTCTGAGCATGATATCCTTCTCCAAGGACCTATATCTCCTAAACATCCTCTTAGGCTAATTATTGAAAAGTCTCCTCCTTCCCCCTGACCCCGCCTTTTTTTCTAACTTACCACTATTATCCTCTGGTTTTCCTTTTTTTTTTTATTCATTGCTTCACATTGTATCCACCTCCACACTTCTCCAGCCGACCCCACAATGCACCCCTCATTACACATTGTTCTCATACATAAAATGTATAAGCGCATATTCCTTTCAGACAGTTCTTCCCTCAGTTTTTTAATTCAGTATTTATTACCTATCCAGTCTTTCCCCACTCCCTCTGCAACAACTCCCACATATGTCCTATTTTATAACAGCAGTGCTACGCAGTATTTATCTTTATGTGACTTCAATATTTCACTTAGATAATGCCCTCAAGTAGTTTTACTATTTCATTATTTCTCAGTGTTGTGTAATATTCCATTGTGTGAATGTACCAGTTTTTCTATCCATTCATTTGTTGATGGGCACTTGGGTTGCTTCCATCTTTTTGCTATTGTGAGTAATGCAGCAATCAACATAGGTGTGCATACATTTGCTTAAGTTGTGGCTCTGGTTTCTTTAAAGTGTATTTCCAGTAATGGAATTGCTAAGTCAAAAGATATTTCTATTTCTAACTTTTTGAGAAAATGCCAGCCCACCTTCCATAGTGGTTGAACCATTTTACCGTCCCACCAGCAGTGAATAAAAGTTCCAGTCTCTCCACAACCTTATCAGTATTTGTTGTGTGCTGCCCTATTAAGTTCTGCCATTGTTGCTGGAAAAGTCCCCTCCTTCTGATAACTTTCTATTCCAGGAATTTAAAATTTATAAACATTAAAAATTGGTGACCTCATTTTTTTTATCTTAGTAAAAATTTTTTCAACAACATTCATTATTCAACTAGTTTGTATTATCCAAACTCTTGCTGTTTTTACAATATTTAACCAAACTAAAACATTCACACATTAAAACTGGCTGGTTGAATTTTAAATCTGGGACTTACAATTTATTTCCTTCTGTATTGTTAATATGCCTAAATAAAAAGTTGTTGATGTTGTTGTTAGGAGCCGTCGAATCATAGACCACTCATAATGACCCTATGAACAAAAGGCCTGAGCAATTGTTCATAGTTTCCGGAGGCAAGCCTTTTCAGAAGTGGATGCCACTCCTGCTTCCAAGCTTGTTTTAATCGGGAAGTTCCATCTGTTAATATTTTTTTTTATTGTATTATTTTTATGTGTACTGTCAAATCAGATCTGACTGGTACAGGAGGAGATTGCCCCCTCCTTCTCCAGCAGAGCATCTGGTGGATTTGAACCGTGTATCTCTAGGATTGCAGTGCAGCGTCTTGTCACTAGGTTACCGGAGCTCCTTCTGTTAATATCTTTTATAAATGACTTTTCTTTTTGTTTTTGCCTAAATGCATCTTTTTTTACTTTTATTATTATTATCCTTTAAGGTAATATTCTAGCTACACTATCCCCTGATGTCAGCAATTACGCTCACGTTTCCAAATACATCTCTTGTCTTTTCAAAAATGCGAGTTGTTTCATACATCCAAAAATGTTCCTTAAATTCTAGTATTTCATTGTTTGTTTGGTTTTTTTACAACAAGCAAAATGTTTAATTTTTTAACTTCTTTACTTTCACAAAAAATTCTCATAAAGGCAGCAAGAAGATACATCTTTTTTTAAACTTTGATTAAAATATGTCTGAATAATGAGATGGTAAGTTTTTTCTCTCTGATGAAAAATAATAGGTGAAATAAGAAATTTTTAACAACTGTTTGATTTGCTAACGAAAATGCAAAGAAAAATGCAATGGAAAAAATTATATAGTTACTCCTAGTACAGCGGATGTTTCTTTTTTTTTAATTTAAAAAATCTTTTAATTTTTTTATTTTATTTTATTATTTGTGTGTGTGTGCCACCAAATCAGATCTGACTGGTACAGGAGGAGATTGTCCCTCCTTTTCCAGTGTAGCATTTGTTGGATTTGAACTGCAAGCCTCTGGAATTACAATGCAGCTTCTTGCCTAGGCCATGGAGAGCTTCCTAGATCTGATATTTCTACTTTATGTTCTATAGTGCCATTATATGTTATAGTATTTAATATTTCAGAAATTATTATTCTAAACTTATATTTTGTTGACTTGAGCAAAATATGTTTACTTGAACCCACTACATTGAATTGCTTAATTGTGAGTCATAGGAACCTTACATTAGGTTCCTGTGGTTGTGTGTCATGGAGTTGGAACCAACCAATAGCTGATCCTTCAGCAGGCTTTCAGAGATAGTAAATCACACAGGAAGAGACTGTCTATCTCTCTCCAATGGAACATCTTGTGATTTCAAACCATGTGCCTTTGGAATTGCAGAGCAGTTTCTTACCACTAGACACTAAAACTCCCTGCAAGTTCCAAAGACTGTAAATCTAATAAGATTGTCCATTTTATTTTCTATAGAATGGCACTGGACTTGAACTACCAAGCTTTAGATTAACAATCTGGCACAGTATGCACTACCCCATTAACGTGTCTCGCTTAATTTCTATTTAATATTTCTTCTTTTTAGCTTCATCTTCTAAATCTCTTAAAAATTAGCCATTTTTGTTCCTTTCAATTAATTTAACCACTTCTAAAGTATTTTTCTTTTATTTATAATTATTTCTTATGATCTAGCACTTCTCTGGTGACATATTCATAGCAGAATATATAATTTCCCCAACTTTTCCTAATACATTTGTATTATGATACAGCTCCATCATAAAACTACTTAGTAAAGCAATTAAAACATAGAATTTAGTGAATTGGTATGAATCTCAGGTATGCTACTGTTTTAATGTGTAACAAACTAGCCACTTGGAATCTCTTTCTGTAAGATGTGATGTTAATAGTGGCAAAGGTTAACAGGACAGCAAATAATAAATGTTGGAGAGCATGCAGCGAGAAAGGAACCCTTAAACATTTTTGGTGCGATTGTAAAATGGTACAACCATTCTGGAAGGTAGTTTGGTGCTTCCTCAAAAAGCTAGACATAGAAATTCCATATGACTCAGCTATTCCACTACTTGGAATATACCCTGAGAAAATGAGAACTGAGGCAAAAATGGAAATCTATATACCAGTGTTTATAGCAGAATTGTTCACCATCACAAAAACATGGAAACAGTCCAAATGTCCAAACACAAACAAGTGGATTGAGAAATTATGGTACATTCACTCAATGGAATACTAGGCAGCATGCAGGAGCAATGATTTTGCCTAATTGTTGTCTAATTTGGGAGGGAATGGAGAACATTAAGCCGAATGAACTAACTCAGTCCCACAAGGATAAATACTGTATAAAACCAGTATTGTAGAATGAGTATAAGCATCCAAGAGGGGTGGGACAAGTTGGAAAGCAGAGTGTTTAGGATGTGTAGGTGGAGGGGGCATTAATCATGGGGTTGTATAATTTGATGGATGGTGCAGTGAGGGAAATGGAAAGAATATGTTATTAAAACCAATGTATTCCAATTTCGTAAATAAACTAGTAGATTTCTTTTTAAAAAAAAAGCATTTGTTGTTCAAACTGGCTCTCCTAGCAATGACAGACTATGCCATGAGACTGGGTGGGAATATGCAGGTACAGCGTGTAAGCCTACCCAGAAGTGGATTTGCTAGTCTTGCCAATCCACAAGAAGATGGGCTAGTCTCACCATTAAATTGAGCATATTCAGCAGCAGATTTGGAGAACCTTGCCACCAGTAAAGGAGAACCAGGCATGCAGTGTATGCTTTCAGTACCAGAGATTCTTGTACCAGCTAGACCTACAGCAGCAGCAACTTTGGCCAGAGCAGAGGACCAGAGACCCAACATGAGAGAACTGACCTTGTGACTACTAACCCCCATAGAACAAAAGGTAAGAGCCTTTACCCAAGCTTGTTGGAAAACAAGGGGCAAGCTGTGAAGGAGCCATAATTAGCAAGTCTGACGGCTACATATTACTGGCTTATAGCCCTTATAGCCATGATACTCAAGGCTGAGTTATCAAGCACATTTTTGAAGCTGTTCTGACGGATTGTATTCTGCTACTAACCTGAATTATAGCCTTTGATTTCCCTAATATGGTTCTATATGGTCTTTGAGTTATTGCAATGGACTTTAGACCCAGTTAAGCAGTAAGATTGATGTTGGGATAATATAAAGAGGTGCACCAGTGTGTGTGGGGGGGGAGGGGGCATATCTGACCTAATGGAAATTGATTTTGTGTCGTTGCAGTTGTTGACATGGACAGTTCCCCTCTGTGGAGTTGGTAAAGGTCAGATATGGCCATGCTCACACAGCCTGTGCTCTTTTTAACAAGTCTTCTGTACTTGTTAAATGTACATAACAACAGCAATTAAAAATAAATCAGTAAAGTTCTAGGTGTACTTTAACAAGGTTCTACTCACTAGAAGCTGAGAGTAAATTATTCCAGAATTTTAGATTACACTATGATCTACACTTTTTTAAAAAAAATTCATTTGTGTGCTCTCGAATCACGTCTGACCCTCCTCCTCCAGCAAAGCATCTGTTGGATTCGAACCACGAGCCTTCAGGATTGCAGCACAGCTTCTTGCCACTAGGTTACCAGAGCTCCCTGATCTACACTCTATTTTGTTGTTGTTGTTATGTGCCGTCGAGTTGTTTGCGACTCATAGCAACCCTATGTACAACAGCCCTAAACCCTGCTCTGTCCTGTGCCAAGCACACTGCCTCTGACACACCCATCCCGATTACCCCAGTCACTGAATCAATCCACCTCATAGAGGGTCTTCCCCTCCTGCGCTGTCCTTCCACCCTACCAAGCATGATGTCCCTCTCCGAGGACCTGTCTCTCCTTACAACATGTCCAAAATATGTCAGATGAAGCCCCAGAATCCTTGCCCTGAAGGAGTAGCCTGGTTTAACCCTCTCCAGGATGAATCTGTTTTCTTGGCAGTCCAGGGTACATTCAATACTCTTCTCCAGCACCACAGCTAAAAGGCTTTTTTGTATTACTCTGACTTATACAAAGTTTGAATATATTATTTTTCACAAAAGATCTTTCCCATTTCTTTCACCCCACTCACCCATCAAATTGTGCAACCCTAGGATTAACACCCTACCCCTCTATCTTCACCTCTTTATTTCCACTCTCCCCCACCACCAAATTCTACAACCTCATGATTAATCAACCCCTCCACCTGCACATCCTCATTCCTCTTCTTCCACACACACTCCCCCCTTGGATCCTTATACTGATACTACAATAATGGTTATAGACAGTATTTCTCATTGTGGGACTGAGTTAGTTCACTCAGCATAATGCTCTCCAGTCCCTCCCAAGTTAGGTAAAAATTCCATATGACCCAGCTATTCCATTGCTTGGAATAGATCCCAAGAAAATGATAACTGAGGCTCAAATGTAAACTAGTACACCAATGTTCATGGCAGCATTATTCACCATTGTAAGAACATGGAAACAGCCCAGACGTCCAACCACAAACAAATGTATTGAAAAGTGGTACATTCACACAATGAAACACCATGCAGCACACAGCAGCAATAATCTCTTTAGTTGAATCTTTCAGTGGAAGAGAGAAGACACTCAACCAGATGGACTGACACAGTGACTGCAACAATTGCCTCAAGAATGTCAGAAATTATGAGGATAGGACAGGGTTCTAATCTGTTGTTCATTGGGTCGGTCACTGTTTCATACTTGAGTCAATAGCACCTAACAACAATATAATCTACACATTTCTATCTATTTATTTAATATGGGAATATATTTTATTAAACTCACTGAATAAAGAAAAGCCTTATAAGACACAATTTAGTGGCCAGAAACTTTCTCTCTATCCTTTTTTTCTTTTTTTAAAAAAATAAGTATTGGCAACTGATAGTTTCAAAATAAGAATTAAAATTGAACACAAAAAAGCATATGTACTTACTTGTCTATGCCATAAACATAGGATACAGCAATATTCTCCAAAATTACTACAATTAGAAGAGGCAGAGTAGCAGAATAATCATCAAACATCATAACAAAGTAATTCCCAGAGCGCTGAACAAATATCAGGCCAATACTGAATGCCAGAAGACAGCAAATAACTGGACAAAGGGAGGAAATGAGAAAACAAGTATCTATGCAAGTGGTCTTTTAGACTTTATTATGAATTATTATATTTAAGTTTTGCTTTAACTTTAAAAATTACTCAATTACATAGATATGGTACCTTTCCTGCTACTGTAGAGTACAAGACATTGAGAGTCAGCTTACTTGTGCTTGGGTTTAAGTATGAATTCATTGTAAGGCAGTGTGTCAGCTCATCTCCCTAAACCTGTAGATATTTACTTAACAGGTGGAAATAATAAATGTGGCAACAACAAAGAAATTTTAAAAGTATATCCCCATATATAAACCCCCCATTGTATTGTAATAATAAATTTACTTTTAAGCCAGGTTTCATTTCCACTTTTAAAGATCTTTTATATTCTTAGAATATATATTAAATGTTTTAATCAACCTATGACTACTGTGATATATAATTTGATGACATCATTTTATAAAAATTTATATATTATATTTTATTGAAATATTATTCTTTTTAAGTACAATAGAAATATTTAATCAGACCTAAACTCAACACCAACCCAAATCTGTATCTTTAATTTGCCTCACTAATTTAGTTTGGATTCTAATTATGATAGAGTTGGACAACAAAATTATCCAAGTAACATCCAAGATGAATTATATCTAATGAATTTCCCAGTGGTATCTAAGGAATAAAGGAAGGAGGAGTGGCATCCACTTCCATAATAGCTTGCCTCCGGAAACCCTACGAACCTGGAGAGAGGATGAAAGGCACTCAAGCATCGAGGACTCTCCTTCATAAGGTCACTATGAGTCGCCTGCGACTCTACGGCACTTAATAACAACAACAACAACAACAATCTAAGGAATAAAGGCACACATTTTAGATCAAGACATTTTAGATGATTAATATAAAAATTTAGAGATTTTTTAGAATCCCTGTGTCTGTAATTATATTACACTTTACTCTTTCATGGTGACAAGCTCTCAAAATTACATTATTACTGCATTCTGCCAACTAGTTTTGAGCAAAGTTGAGTTAACAGGAGAGAAAAGCAAGTGATGGAGACAGGGAAGCACAATATTCATAGAATCAATAGCATGGGGTTCCCTAGCCACACTCAAACTATTATGTATATTTCACATATTCATATCTAAATATACAACACTGTAATCATACAAAGAGAAAGTAACATTTACTTGTAGACTACTACATATTAAAAACGTTAAGTGCTTGGTAGAGTACATAATAAATTTTAATTACCTTATTTCAATTTTAAAACACTTTAATGGAAGTATCTTAAAATCTTAGAGAAAAATTATCCCGAAAAATGTACATATCCAAAATATCAGACTGGAAATGGCAGAGCTGATATTTGAAATATAAGTCTATATTTTTCCATAGTCTGTGTCACTCTCACTTTCCCATTATATTCTCTTTCAATGCTGTTGAGTAAGAACGTACAAATAGCTGATCCTCTGATGCGTTTCCATAGCTGTAAATTACATAGGAGATTGCCCATCTGTCTCCCATAGACCCACCAGAGAGAAATGGCCATTTGATTAACAGTGTAACTCCCTATGAACTACATCACAGGGTTCCCTCCTTACACTATGTTTATGTTATTATGCATTATCAAGCCAGAACTGGCCCTTAGCTGATACTATGGTAGGTTTTCATAGGCAGTAAATAACATAGGAGGAGACTGCCCATCTTTCTGACACAGAGCAGCTGGTGGATTTGAATTGCTCATAGTAGGAGGCAAACAAAAATATATTCTAGGTGATACAGACATTGCTACTGGAGACACAAAAGAACAATGAATAACTTCTTTATTTGAGTCCTACTTCACTGTCAGTAATAGAAATCCAAATCTGACAAAGGTGATGGGGAAGCATTTCTGGTGGCTTAGTGGTAAGTAAGTGCATTGCCAACCCAAAGGTCGGAGATGTGAATCCATCAGCTGCTCTGCAGGAAGATGGGGAATCTCTTCTTATGCAATCAGTGCCTCTGAAAATTGTCCAGGGGTGCGAGAGGGGGTGGATAGGTGTCAGCTACAGGTCATGGGTAGATTCTTACTTGACAATCAACAACAATAACAGATAGGAAATGGGAGAAGACAGTTCTTTCCCTTTTCTTCAGCAAATAAGTCTTCTCAAGGTAGACAGTATATATTACTCTTCTAGGTTTTGTCTCTGTAGTTGCTTTTCCCTTAATTATGCAAGACTCCTATAATTACTATAATTACAGAGGTAGAAGTTGCAGAAAGAAGCAAAGGTTCATGTGTGATAATTTGTGTATCAGGTGGGATATTGATCAATATAAAATGTAATAGAAAATTCAGAAGTAGTCCCTGATTTCTGGGGGGAAGGTAAGGAATTTTTTTCCCCTTTTCTTGAATGGAAGACTTTAGGTATAAATATTTAACTGCTGAAATTTTAATACAACATACCCAATAGAAAAGTAAATGATAAAAATAAAAGCTTATACTGTTGAGTCAAATCCAATTCAGAGATTATATATAATGAAGGAGAATTGGACCATTGCAATATCAAGCCAAAGCTAAACTGTTTGAATTCACCAGCTATTCTATAAGAAAAAGATGGACAACCTCATCTTACGTGAATCATGGCCTCCAAAAACCCACCGGAGGGTCAGCAATGAATTGGTTCTAATTCCATGACACCTAACAGCTATCTTTATAGGAGTAGATTTTCTCTAGGACAAGATTGCCCATCCTTTTCCCACAGAGCAGCTGGTGGACTTGAACCATGCACCTTTAGGACTGCAGCACAGTTTCTTACCACTAGGCCATTAGAGCTCCCGAAAAGCTGCTGGTGGGCTCAAATAGCTGACCTTTCTCTTAGTAGCAGTGGCCACAAGAGCTCCCTTGCATATATCTTACTGTTATTGTTGTATACCATTGAGTCAGAATTGAACCATAGTTAATCCTCCGGCAGATTTTCAGAGGCAGCTTTTTACCTCTAGGCTATCAGAACTCCCTAGATATCTCACTTGTTGTTGTTGTTGTTAAGTGTCGTCGAGTCATAGGCGACTCATAGCAACCCTATGAACAAAAGTCCTCAACACTTGCGTGACTTTAATCCTATCTTCAGGTTCCGATATCTCACTAGATATGAAAAATATATTTGCTAGTGATTTACATAAAAAGTATTATTAAATCTCTCAGGTCTAAAAACAGAGCCTGAGATGTTTAGAAACCATTGTATAGCATTAAAGATTTTTTTTTTAATTCAATCTTATTTCTTTCATTTACCAATAGTGTTCTATGCTCCTATCTGACTGGATTCCTTACTGCTTCCTTTATCTCCTTTTATATATTGTTATACAAGGCATCTTCTACTTACATCTCATTCTATTACATACTGAATTTATATATCCAGTGGAGTACAGTCTGCTCCAACTCATAAATATCTACCCTGAGGCTGTAATTGAAGTGCTGACTTTCAGTGAGCAGCCTGGAATGTTACTGTCATCAGAGATCTTTCCTGTTATCTGCCAGTATAAATTATGTACTGTTACAATATACCCCGGTATACAGTATTTAAAAAAAGGAACTAGTCCTGAAACTAGTCCTAGCTACCAAATCTGTCATTGTTAGTAATAATATTTTTTTTACAAAAAAAGATATTCCCTTAAATCTTATAATTTCTAATCCTTTAAAATTTTTCTTATCTCCTTCTTATCCCTCAACTGCAAAAATTATACAACACAAAAAAACTATACAATCCAAATTGGTTCTTTACTAATTACCTGGATATTTGAATTAATAATAGGCATCAAGATTGATAAGTTATTTCATTTTCTTACCATTAACTGCCAGTGCATTTTACTGATGCCACATGCCTAAAAAAGGCAGATCTTTTAAGCTGCAGTTGCTATTGCAGATGACAACTGATTTTAGGTTCATCAATTTCAGCTGTATATTTTCTGGACAAGAAACATGGATCTGAACTGCTTTATTAATAGTTATTTTAATTTCTATATTAACTCATGTATTAGTATTCTGTGGCTACACCCAAGTGTCAATAATAGTGACATTTCAAGAAAACACTTTTGTTTTACATTGCAAGATGTAACTCTCCCCCCACTCTTTTACAAGTCCCCATAGTTAAAGTGACCTTTATTAGTCCAACAGGATGTCAAACCCATAAAAACTTACCAGTCACACAATCATTCTCATGTATTATGTTTTATAAAATTAATTACCATTGAACTTGCCCATCATTACCCTGTATTTTCATCTAGATCCTTCCCATTTGCTTCTCCCCTCCCTCCACCCACCAATGTGAATTAAGGTAGTGTGAAACACAATGCATATGAACTTTCTAAGCAAAAATATTTTTTTTAAAAAATAGAGTAAAATAGAATGTACATGAATGATTGTATGAAACACAATGTAAATGAAATATTGTATAAAATACAATGTAAAAAGAATGAAACTGAATGTAAAGGAATACTTATATGAAAATCAATTATTTTTTTTAATTTAAAAATTATAGGGAGCTCTGGGAGCCTAGTGGCAAGAAACTTCACTGCAATCCCAGAGGTATGTGGTTCAAATCCACCAGATGTTCTGCTGGAGAAGAAAGGGCAATTTCCTCCCATACCAGTCAGATCCAATTTGACGATACATACACACAAAATAGTAATTTTTTTAAATAATTAAAAAACAACAAAACTTACCAGTCAAGATTTCTTTTCTCACTTTGAAAGTGTCTACTACAGGTGTGATGATCCCTTCGATGGTTCCAAACATGCTGCCAAGCCCCAGATTAATCAGCATGAGAAAGAACATCACTGACCAGAAAGGAGACGCTGGGAAGTGTGTCATCGCTTCTGTAAAGGCAATAAAAGCTAAACCAGTCCCCTGAACTGCCTGAAAAACACATCAAAACAGGAACATCAATCCATATGCTCAGGAGCCGTGTAAAGAGATGATTCTACATCTCACAAAGGAGATATTTGGCAGCTCTAATTAACTATCAGGGGCTACTAGAAAGAATATGTAATTTTACTGATATCAGCATCTCACCTGTTTGATCACTTAACCATTCTCAGAATTCAGATTTGTTGAAATAGACACGAATGAAAAACTTGGGCTACCAACCCAGAGGCACATGCTTCAACTCTACCACTTGCAACATGAGAGAAAGATGAGTAACTTCCTCCTGTGTAATTAACTGCCTTGGAAAACCCATTGGTGGGTTAGCTCTGCGTCGGGTCTGCTGTGATGGTACACAAGAACAGGCCATACACAATTGCAATGCCTTGTATACGAAATATTCCACATGAGCACTGGAATATATTTTATTAAAGTATATCTATCTGTGTGTGTGTGTGTGTGTGTGTGTGTGTGTGTGTGTGTGTATATATATGATTATAATGTATTTCATACATATATTGTTGTTATGCACAGTCAAGTTGGAACTGACCCATAGCTGACCAGCAGTGAGTGAGTTTTAAGAGGCCATTAATTGTAAGGTAGAAGACGGTTCATCATTCTTCCTAGGAAGAGCTGGTAGATTCAAACTGTGAGCCTTTCAGTTGGCAGTGCAACCCCTTACCACTAAGTCACCAGAGCTTCCTGATGCATACACATGCACACACAGGAGCCCTGGTAGTGCAGTAATTTGTGCTTGACTGTCAGTCAAAAGTTTGGCAGTTCAAACTCACTAACTTCTCCAGGGGAAAAAGATGTGGAAGTATTCTTCAGTAAAGTACAACCTAAGTACACAAGCTAAGTGCCCACCAACAAACACATGGATAGAGAAGCTATGGTATATTCACACAGTGGAATACCATGCTGCATTGAAAAACAAGGAACTCATGAAATGGATGACCCTGGAGGACATTATACTGAGTGAAATATCTCAGTCACAAAAGGACAAATACTGCATGGTGCCACTATTGCAAACAGTGTTGTTGTTCTGGCATCGTGGTTGGGAGGAGACTGAGAAAGATGGGATAAATTATGTATACTGCATTGAAATAGATGAGGGAGAAAACGGTTTTTAAAAGGTATATATGATTAGGTATTATTGTCATTATAGGAATCCAGAACAAAGGCTGCATAGTGAAGTGGACTTAGGGGAAGGACTGTATAACAATGAAAGAATTTTTCTTTCACTTTTCAAAGAGAAGAGGGAACTGTTGGGGGGAGGTTGGGCAGGGAGAAAAGTGTAATCCCAAGTCTCTGTAAACGTTCACAAAATTAATAAAAAAATATAAGACTACAACCTTATTCACCTTATAAAGTTGTTCCTACTCTTCAGTAGGATCGGTCCACTATATTCACTTTATCATTTAAATCATATACAAGTATACATATATTGCACTTACATATATGTTAAGACGTACATAATTAAGATGGAGAATATTTAGTTTTACCTTAACTTCAAAATGTTTGATCAATTAGTATGAAAAAAATCAGATTGTAAATAACAAACTTGCTCTTTGGGTTGGCAAAGCAATGCCTTACCACTAGGCCCCCAGAGTTCCCTCAATATGTGAATACTTAATAAAAGGTACATAAAATAACTAGTTATTTTAAGTCACCTTTTTTATTCTTCTAAAAAACCCAATATCTTCATCTTTTCTACTCTTCTATTCCTATCATCCTAATAAAATTTGGGTTTTTATTATTCAAAGGACAGGGCAGATTACCAGCTAAATTTTGAAAGGGATGAAAAGACATACATAATCTAACTGGGAAGAACAAAGAGAGATGGCTAAAATGACCCGAGTTATTTCCTGTTCTCTAATCCAACTTCAAGTTATTTGGTTTAGCTCATAAAGACAATAGGTATAAATAAGCCAATTAAAATTTTAGAAATACATATTAAAGAGGAAGTCGATAACTTGTCCCTTAAAGAAATCAGATGTTTATAATAATGATGATTTCACCCACCAGTTCCTGTATATGATCCTATATTTTCTTTAGATTATTGTCAGCTATCCCAAAGCAAGTGCTTACTGGCCAATTTCTGTATTGTATTTTCTATGTAACAGTGAAAAAGAGACTCATAGCCAATACCGGCATTTATTGATGTTTACTATTTCTTGATTATTAAAATATTTTACTGGCTAAGAAAAAATAGTTAAAACTTTCTGAGTACTACTACTAAAAGGAACATTTAATATATTGTTTCTCAAAGCAGTAACACAAAATGTAAGTGATATGTATAATATTATGTATTCAAAATTGTACTAATAAAAATAATAGACTAATCATTTTTCTTTGATGAACATTATATACTTCATATTCATAGTTTAAATTACTATGGTTCGTGTAATAAAAGTACTTTGTAAAATAAGCAAATCTTTACAAGTTAATAAAGTTGCTGATGCTAAGTATCGTCACGTTGCTTCTGATTCACAGCACCCTTGAGTACAGCAAAATTTAATGGAATCGAAGAAAGCATGTTCTTGAATTCTAGAATGTAAATTTAATGCAGCATAATCTTCCACAGGCATTTTAAAGGTCATTTTTCTAAAGTAAAACTTCTGGATAAAGCTTCGTTTGTCTATAGTTATTTTATTGATTAAACGTGACCCACTAACTTTATTTAGCTCATCTTCAATGTGACAGGAGTTGATATGAAGAGCAGGAAACTCCTCTTCTTCCACTTTTTGAATGATATCATAAACTAAGTGGTAATCTTCTGCAGTAATAACTGAAAAGTTGATATGATGAGGAATAATGTCCTGACTAATGCTTCCCATTTTCAAAAGGCTCACAATCATCTCTGAGTTTCTGAAAAACAGAACAGATTAATGAGCATTCAGGGTCATTGGAGTTTAGGTTTCACACACAATTATGCTGCCAAAAGTTAAAGAAAATTATGTCCATACTGTGCAATGCATTTCTCATTTATGACATTGGCTTTGAAGCCCAGAACTGCAAACACCACCAATGTTGCCAGGACAGAAGTGAAAAAATTGATGAAGGACACCAAGACAGCATCAAAGTGGCAGTTGTTGTCTCTCTTGTTGTAGCTTGAAAAGGCAATTACGCCACCAAATCCCAGACCTAATGCAAAGAACACCTGAGTAGCAGCTTCTTTCCAGACCTTGGGCTCCAGCATTATTTCAAGCTGTTTAAAATTAAACATAATACAAGTCAGCTGCAAAATAGTTAAAAATAATTCATCTACATGGAATTAGTTCTTTCAGCATATTATAATGATATTTATGCAACCAAAGTTTATTTAAATCGAGAGGAAATATGTTCTTAAACAGAGAAAATACATATTTTTTTTACTTAAAGAAAAATGAGAAAGACAAAAGACTATCAAGTCTTTGAGATGAAGATTTTTGGCTTATATATACATTTTTAAAATATTTTAAGACAAATCATCAAAGGACTATATAAAGAGAAAAACAGCTATCTTCAATTACTTCCTCATCTTTTTTTCCTTTTCAAATCAAAATAAAACAATTAACAATGCAAATTAAATAATTGCCTAGTACACTAAGTTTTGCAGGTTTTAGTAGAAATTTAATAGTCAAAGCAGGTAACAATTATGTACTCCATTGTGGTCCTACCATATTCTAATTTTTCAACAATGCTTAACATAGATAGATTATGCTGGTAAACACAATGATAAACACTTTAACTAGACTGTTTTAATTACAACAGTAATTAAACAACCTATTACAATGACCTATTGCTATTACTATTACCTGGGTCTCAGAAATGTAATTTTTCTAACGTCATACATATCTAATTCTGCAATCAAGTGGAGATTTGAACACAGGAAGATCCCAAAATCCATGCTCTCGCAACTACTAAAATTTATTGTTTCAGTTTTATTGTTGGAATGTATGAAATACTCTCAATAAACATAATCATGTCCATTAGTTTTTAAGATATTTTCATGTGGTTTATCTATCTTTGCTACATTAAAAACTAACAAATCCTGCTCCCCTCATTGCTCTCAAGTCATAATTGTCTCAGCTGATTCTTCATTGGGTTTTTGAGATTATAATTACATTGGAGATTTCTCAACTTTCTCCAGGGGAACCACTGGAAGAGTCAAGTCACCATAAATTCCAAGTCTGTGCTATGAGCACATTTTATGTGAACTATTCAACTGCATATCTCTAGTTTGTCCACTAGATGGCAGAAAAGACCTATTTAGTAAAGATTTCCCACCGTTCCACTAGTATTTCCAATATCTGAGTATATTTTCCTTTCCCTTTTCCATTACTATTTCTTTATGCCGTATTTCCTCCTCTATAAAAACAATGCATATTTAAAAGTAATTTACAAATAGTAATTATTATATTAAATATACATCATATAGTGAGCTAATATTTTGTCAAGTTAATGGCAAGTGAGATGAAGGGAAAATCAGCAGCATTTAAATAGCAATTCCTAGTCCTGATTAAAAATGTTAATATATACGACCAAGGTGTTAAAATTTATATAATGTCTACAGTATTTAATCAAACTAAAGGTTTATAATTAGTTAAAAAGCAACTGATACATTTAAGAAAATCATGAAGAAGCTAGCCAGTTGATAAGTCAGAAAATACTTGTGACAGAAGGCTGCATTCTAGAAGTTCACATAGAATTAGGTATCTTTAATTCTAGGAATTATTTTTAGTGTTACAAAAGACAATCATTTTTGATCTGAGAGTTAGTACACTTGAAGCCAATTTAGCCAATAAAACAGCGGAAATTTATCTACATATCTTCAGTATGCACTGAAAAGTTGTAACCATTCTAAAACTTGAAGAGGACAAAGAATACAGCTTCCTTCCAGAGTCAACACAGCTGCTAGGAATGGCAAAGAGTCCTGGGAAGCTAATTTTTCCTTCTCAAATCTCACAGCAATATGCTGACTACCAATTTATCCTTCAAAAATACTTTCAATCTCTGAGTCAATTTTGAAGCTATCACTCTATAACTCAGTATATACCTCTGATAGTATGATCAGATTAAAAGTGAGGTACAACATCCTATCGTATCCCTTGTGATAAACCCATAACATTGATTTATTAGCTTCAAAGTGAATAGAAATGTGTTCAGTGCTAGCAAATTTAATGACAGTCAAAATTCCGCGCCCTTTATGAATCCTAATGAGCATCCTCCTGAAATATATATGAATTTATGAAAGATTCAAAACTTCTCAAAAATGATCACCATAAAGACGATTCTAGAAGGTACAAAAATCTCAACAAAAAAAAAACAACCCCAAAAACAAACTAACAAGAAAATAGGATTTCCCCAGGGACAGCATCAGGGAATCTGTCAATATCTTGGCACTGTAAGCAAATTAATAGTTTAACTGTCTTTTCCCCCGGAAATATTAACAGCTATTACCAACTTCTTAAAAAGTGTAAGAGTTATGAACCACTGAAATACAAGAAAATATCAGCTTTAAAGGTGCCATAATCGTCCCTTTCTTATTCTCCTCTGATGGCACCATGTTGGAAGACCTGCCATCTACTCTCACTCCTATCTTTCCAGGGGTTCTTCCCCTCTTCTTCCCTTTTCTTTCTTTTTACTTTAACTCTTTTGCATGTCTCACCTTCCACTAGCCTTTATTGCCTTAATAAACCTTTTTTCACTTGTTTTGTTAAATTGGGGGCAGGGGAAGTTCCATTATCCTTAAATTTGCTGTCTTGTGTTTTGACATTATAAGTTTTCATACCAATACTACTACTTTAGAATCAAAATGGGACAAAGATATAAACAGTTAAGGGATCCAGGTTCTTAAAAGATGCTTAAAATACTCTAAATTAAAGGCCTAACTTGTATATGTTTCAACAATTCTCTTCACTCTGACAATACGAATATTCTTAATAAATACAATACTTTCATGATCATGACCATTAAATAAAAATGTATCACTTACTTTGGGGGTAAACATGTGGCGGATGCCATCAATTGAGCCATTCAAAAGGAGTGTTCTGACTAGGAAGCATATAAGTACTACATATGGGAAAAGAGAACTAAAATACATGATCTGGGGAAAAAAAAGAAAACACAGGTGAGTCATATTAACACACGTATCCCTTATATTTCCTCTGTTCTATAGCTGGACATTCTCACATTTACTTATTGCCATCAAGTCAGAACCAACTCCTATTTGGCCCTCCAGTGGGTTTCCAAGACCATAAATGACATAACTTCCCACCTTTACCCTGAGATTTGAACTGTGGCACAGCTCCCTATGGACCACGCCCTCTGACATTCATCTTTTTTTTTCATTATTATACTAGTTTATTTACAAAATTCAAATACACTGCTTTCCACAACAGATTCCTCCAACTTCCCTCGCCTCCCCTCCAACAAATTGTACAACCTCATGATTAATCCCCCCCTCCACCTGCACATCTCCTTCCCTCTGTTTCCACCCCTCTCCGCCTTAGATCCTTGTAATGATTCTACAATAATGGTTTTATACAGTATTTGTCCTTGTGGGACTGAGGTAGTTCATTCAGCATAATGCTCTCCAGTCCCTCCCAAGTTAGGTAATAATTTACAAAATCATTGCTCCTGTGTGCTGGGTAGTAGTTAGAATCTACAACTTACTCCACAGGAAAACCACATACAATCTCTTCTCTTGTAAAGATTTACAGGCTTGGAAACCCAAGGGAGGATCATCATGAATAATAAATTCAACAGCAGGAGGTAATTAAGAACACAATGAAAAGCAGAACATTTCCTTATTTATCCTGATTTAAAGTAGTTCATAGGTAGAGTGTAATTTGACTAGTATTGACTCTTATATAACAAAGCAATATTCAAGACAAAAATATAGACCCTACTTCCCTATCAAGTTCCTATTTCTATCTCCTCAAGAGAGAAAACAATCTACAACTTTTTTCACATTACTTTGTGAAAATCCCAGTCAACAAAAGAGGGTTCCTATTGCTATCTTTTACAACACCTGAACAATTTAGCCATACAAAAATATTACATCCTGTTTCAACATTTTTCTCCATTAAGTGATTGAAAAAAATATCAATCACAGGAAAGACATCCCCACTAGACTTCCACTGTGTTCATGTTACCTCCTTATTATTATTTGATGTTGTTATCATTTGATGTTATGTGCCAATGAGTCATCTGTGTCTCATAGTGACCCTATGTACAACAGCTCTGTACTCTGCCCTATCCTAAGATAGACTCTCTGACTCTAAAACACTTACCCCATCACCCCAGGTATTGTGTCAATGCATTTCATCTGGAGTCTTCCTCTCTTGCACTGTCCCTCTACCCTTCTAAGCATGATGTCCTTCTCCAAGGACTGATGCCTCCTGGGCACGTGCTCAAAGTATGTGAGACAGTGCTTCAAATCCTTGCTTCCAAGAAGAAAATTGGTTTCACTATCTCCAAGACAGACCTATTTGTTTTATTGGCAGTCCATGGTATCTTCAAAACTCTTCTTCAGCACAACTCAAAGGCATCAAGTCTTCTGTCATCCTTAGTCTTTGTTAGGATTTCTGAAGCATATCATATAATTGTGAAGACTTTGGCCTAGATCAGGTGCGTGTTTGTCTCTAGACTGATGTCATTGCTTCTCAACACTCTGGAGAAGTCCCTGAAAGCAGAATCCCCCAATACCATTCATCTTTTTAATTTCCTGACTGCTGGTGCCAGGAGCATTGATTGTGGAGCCAAGCAAGCTGAATTGGTAACAACCTCAATCTCTTCTCCATCCATCATGGTGCTGCCAGTGGTTGTCTACTTGTGGAGGTCCCATCAGTCTTACACATTTCAGGTCAGCTAAGAACTGAACTTCTAACTCTTCTCATTCATCCCTATATCAATAAATAGCATCACCATCCAATCATCTGCTATTGTTAAACAAGGAGAAATAGACCTGAACTATTTATAATTACTGGTTTGTGGTTGTCCCTTGAATTTTATCATTCCCTACTTAAAACCTTCTAGGAATTGGAAACTTTTGTATACTCTTTGCAGTGGCCCACAAGGAGTTGGAGTCTTCGACCACCTACCCCATTACTCTGTCCCTTGTTGAATAGTAGCCCCTCAGATCTTGTTCTGAGTAAACCAAGTTTGTCCCAAACACCACTCTCTTTCAGTGAGCCGCACCACGAGTGCTCCTCTGGTAAGAGCCTTCATTATTATCAACAACAGAACTGACAGAACACAGTCCTCCTTGCTGCTGAAGTCTCATTTTTTTTATGATTTCTATTGTATATAATTAAAAAAAGATAGAACAAACCACTTTGTATTGGAAAAAAATAAGGGAAAGGGAAAGCACTTTTAAGTCTCATCTTCATCTCCTCGAGGTCGGCTCTACACAATCAGTCTCCGTGTGGGTCTTTTATTTCATTACCGACCTGACTTTCCCACAGTCCCTATGAATATCCTTAATGAGATGGCCTTATTTGGGCTCCTTTTTGGAGCTTAACCCAGCTGCTGTCAAGTGAATTTATAGTGAACCCCCTTGTATAGGATTAGAAAACTGTGCTCCATAGGCTTGCCTATTGTTCACTTTCCGAAACGTGTCCTTCTGGAACACTGGACAAACACTTGGATACTAACCACAAGACCTATTGTTCAAAGCCACCGTCCACTATATGATATAAAGATGTGACAGTCGGCTTCCATCAAGATTCTGTCTTAGAAAGCCCATGGGCCAGTTCTACTCGGTTCCATAGAGTCATTATAAATCAGATTGTATTCAACAGCAATAGGTCATTTTTCTGAATTAGATCACCAGATTCTGATGCATCTCTGTGTGAATTTGAACTACGTTAACCATTAGCACCACGCAAGGACTCTGCTGACCTCAGAATGAAGTATGTTTCCAAGGACTGGCCCCTCCTGACGACAACATGCTCAAAGTATGTGAAACAAAGCATCACTGTCCTTGTCTCTAAGGAGCACCCTGATTTCACTTCCTCTAGGACAGAGGTGTTAATTCTCCTGTCTGTGGTATATTCAATGGACTTTTGACAGAACGACAATTCAAAGGCATAAATATTTCTTACAATGGTGGTGGTTGTGGACTTGGAACCTACCCACACTTGACCCTCCACCAGGTTTTCACAAGGAGACTGCCAATCTTTCTCCCATGGATACTTCTTGTTATGTGTCTATTGCAACTCACAGCAACCATCTGCATAGTTCCAAACCCTGCCCTACACTGAACCAATCTCACTTTCTCTGACACACTTGTCCCCAATTCCCTAGTCATTGTACGAATCCATCTCATCCAAGGTCTTCTTTTCCTGCGCTGTCCCTCCATCCTCGCAAGCAGGATGCCCACCTCTGAGGACTAGTCCCTCGTGGCAACATGCCAAAGTATGCCAGATGAAGCTTCAAAATCCTTTCCTTCAAGGAGTAACTTGGTTTCAGACTCTCTAGTTGATCCGTTTGTTCGCTGGGCTGGTACGTTAAATACTCCCCCATTGCAACTCAAAGATATTGATTCTCTTCTCATTATCCAGCTCTATGATACATAGTAAGTAATCAGGAAGACTATGGCCTGGATCAGGTGCACATTAGTTTGTATACTAACATTGTTGCTCTTCGGAACTCTGGATAGGTTCCAGACAATAGATTTTCTTAATGCCAATTTGTATTTTGATTTCCTGACTGCTGGGGCCAAGAATGTTGATTATGGATCTGAACAAGCTAAAATTACTAACAACCTCAATTTCTTCTCCATCTATCATGGTTCTGGCAATTGGCCCATGATGACATTTTTTTTTCCTTGACATTTCGTTTCAATCTATATTGAAGACCACAGTCCTTGACCATCTTCAGCAAATGCCTCAGGTCCTCCTCAGTGTCGGCAAACAAGGTTGTGTCATCTGTGTAACGCGGATTGTTGATGATTCTTCCTCCAGTTCTGATGCTTAAGTTTCTCTTAAGTCAAACCTCCTGAATGATCTGTTCCACATGTAAATTGAAAAGTTATGAAGAGAGGATGCATTCCTGAGGAATTCATTTCCTGATTTTGAACCATGCAGTCTTTACGTTCTGATAACTTATTCCTGCTCCAAGAATAGGCTTCACATGAGTACAATCAGGTGTTCTTGGATTTGCATTCTTCTCAAGGTTAGCCATCATTTGTGTGATCCACAGAGTCAAATAAATGTCTCTTAGAGGCTCCGTCTAACATACTTTGGACATGTTGTAAGGAGACACCGGTCCTTGGAGAAGGACATCATGCTTGGAAGGGTGGAGGGACAGTGAAGGAGGGGAAGGCCCTCTATGAGGTGAATTCATTCAGTGACTAGGGTAATTGGGGTGGGTGTGTCAGAGACAGTACGATTGGCACAGAACAGAGCAGAGTTTAGGGGTGCTGTACATAGGGTCGCTATGAGTCACAAGCGACTCGATGGCACATAACAACAGTCAATGAAACACAGACATTCCTCTGGTACTCTGTTTTCAGCCAAAATCAGTCTGACATTAGGTAAAAGTACCATGGATTCTTCTGAACCCAGCTTATATTTGTGGAAGTTCTTAGTCAATGTATTGTCCCAGTCATTTTGGATAATCTTCAACATTTTGCTTGTGTATAATATTAGAGATTCTGTTTGATAATTTCTGCACTCTGATTGAGCATCTTTATTGAGAATGGGGATAAATAGAGATCTCTTACGGTAAGTTGGTCATGTAGTTGTCCTCCAGATTTCTTGGCACAACCTGGAGAGCACATCCAGGGCAGCATCTCTTTGTTTAAATACATCAAATGATATTCTTTTAATTCTGGAGCCTTGTTTATTGCCACTGCCTTCAGAACAGCTAGCTTGAACTTTCTCCTTCTTCTCCATTGCCTCTTGATCATATGTTGTTTCATTAAAAATCTTCTCTGCGTCAATCAAATCATTTTGGTACAGTGACTTTGTGTACACCATCCATCTTCTTTTGATGCATCCTGGATCATTCAATATTCTGCCAATAGATCCTTAAGTATTGCTACTTGAGCTTGGTTTTTTTCTTCAGTTCCTTCAGCTTAAGAAATCCTGAGCGAGTTTC